ATATATATATATTTATATATGTACATATAAGATTAAGATTTAAAATATTCATCTTACGTAGCTTCAGCGAGACAATCTGCCTAATTGCCGATACTCCTTTATCGGTACGTGCAGCCCTTTGAAAATTGATGTCACGTATATTCTCAAAGTGCGCCGCAGTTATCAAGTCCGCCTTCAGCAAGGCAGTAATCAGATCTTCCTCGATAGTTTTCATTTGAGGATTTCTTTGCATGCCGTAGTAGTCCTTGCCAACGTAGCCAAGCAACATGGCGTGATTTTTCCTCTTGATTCTCTGTACTTTCTCCACCTCTGTCTTTTGCAGCTTGACTTCGTTCTCGCTGCCATTGTCTATCTCTATGGGTCTCTTAGTTCCCTGCATAGCGTTTACGTCGGTATTCACTTCGGAGTCAGTTGTAGGATGCATTAAAACTGACATGCTTCTGCGATAAGTGTTCTCTGAAGACAAATTTACATTAAATAACATTAAATAATATTAAAACTATATAGGCTTCGACAGAAATTTGCATGGACATTGAATAATATTAAGTTAAAGAAAATTTAAAGTCAAAGTTAAGTTACAGAATACAGTTTTAACGAAAAGCTGCAGAATAAGGCACAACATGGACATTTTAATAATCTCTTGGCAAACTTTCGTATACGCTTCTACGCTTATAAGAATTTTATTTCGTATAAGAATTAATCAATCTGTTAACATTTTATCACCAATATTGTATACTTGATATACCTAATTGAATCTTTACCCAACAAATTGTGGATTTGCTTGAGAGGCAATATCTTGTCCTGTACAACATTGGCGGCACTTTAATTCCTATAAATAATTCTTATAAATAATTCCCACGTTAAAACAGTTCGAAGTTCTCTCTCTCTCTCTCTCTTGTTCGAGCGAAAATCACATCATTTATATAATATGAGGGAGAAAATCGCATTAATTCAGAATTCACACAATATACACAAACTGACGTTACTCCCTCGTGCCATCGACATACTGACGTGCGTCATAGCATGTTTAAACTCTAGATAACGCATACGCTATTGGAATCCACATCCACGCCGTCGTCGCTGTCGTCGGTTTTGTCAAAAAATTAGGACAAATCACGCGCAAAGTGCATAAACTCGGAGTAACATCCTGTTCTTCATTGCCACACCACTTTTTGTTCTTCTCATCTACTCATTGTTACGGCAATATTTTTGCACGTCAGAAAATGTAATTATGTGATGTTTGATTGATATCAATAATTAGATGTCAGACATGTCAAAAAAACCGACCGTCCAGCAGCAGTATTCGTGAGAGAAAAGTGCAGTTCTCCTGCACCTGAATCGGCAGGATCCGGTCAGCAACGTCTGCCTCTCGCTGTCTCTATTTGTTGTCTATGGTCGGCGGTCAATCGCGGCTTGACATAACCTCACAGCCTCGTATAACCTGAAACGTGAGTGTGGTGTGAAGCATAAACACGAAATTTAATGAAAAATATTGATAGATACGTAATAATTTGAATGACCGTTTCTTTCTTTCTGCAGTTTCTACAATTCTCGAGGAATAAAATTCACGAAAATGCTGTCAAGATACGTTTGCCCGGTGTTTCTTTACGGAAAACTCACTCGCGGAAGGTGTTTACAGGTAATGCTCGATACTGCTCCATTTTTCGAAAGTTAATGAAATTGTACAATATAACATATCTAATTGTTCTCATTCAAACTGTACATTTCTTAATTCACACAGAATTTTTGGATTGACACCATCTTCTCTTAGGTTATATAACAATTTCTATCGAATTGTTTTACTCAACCTTTTTCTGAAATTTAATTTAACTAAAATAATTGTTAAGAGTATCATAAATTTAAATTAAAATAAATCAGAGATATGTAATTATAGTCTAATTGTGTCACAGAATTATCTATTCAAATGCGAAGAAATGTATCTAAACGGATGGACATCTATTTCAGAACAATCTGCCGGCGTTGGTTGCTGCTGTTAATCATCCCAACAATTTTATGCAAGTAGCACATATAAGTAAGCACTGGGATCCCAAATGGAAGAAAGAAAGGAGACAGAAGGTTATTAAAGTAAAACTTCCCAATTTCGAAGACGAGGATCCTGCTACAATGGACAAGGAGAAAATACGATCGCGTTTGAAAGAGCATGGTTTCCTACCGCAGAAACCTTGGCAGGAAAGACCAGCGTTTATCAGTGCTACTTCGGCAATTTTCGAGCCCTTCATTGCACCGGAAGGAGATGGAAAATATTCTGCCCTTAGCAAAGAAGTACATGCTCTTTATCTTTACCTCTTATTATTGTAACTAGTAACAAAGTATATAAAGTCTAATATTTCATTAGACTTAAAATATAACAAGAAAGATATGTGTGCTTTAATTATTTATTTTATTTTATTGGAATATAGGGAGCAAAGCAAAAGTTAACATTGTTGGACAAAAAGAGGAAATCTCTAATGGCCATCAGAAAAGTTAAATCGTTTGACGATTCATTCAAGACGTCATATTTTTTAGAAGAGGCCCTGCATATCTATCAAAAGGCACATGAAGCTTTACCTAGGTTAGAATGAAATAGGAAAATATAATATTTCTATAATTGTGCAAACGTATTATATAAGTTAAAAGAATTATTTAAAAAGTATTAATAGAGCATGCCTTTTTTACTCATCTGGAGCACAATGTTGCTAAATAAAACGCTAAATAAAAATGCTAAATAAAAATTTTTTTAATTACAGTAAAAATGAAGAGGAGATTTTAAGATACGTTACAGAAACGGTATATCCTGTAAGTTTCAAATATATCTCGTGTCCTTGCTAATTTAAAATATTTGTGTTACATTTGTTCTCACATATAATAACATGTATGTATATTACTTTCTGGATTACTTTTTAGAAAATAACACACAATATGAAGGACAAAACCATACACTGGAAGTTCTTAGAGTCTTTGGAACCAGCCCGCCTCGTGCACGCAAGGACTATAGACATATTAACGAAAGACAACGTTTTCGCACAACTTACTGTCCGGTTCCACACGCAACAGGTTCAATAACATTTCTTTCGCAATCTATTATCTTTTTATAAAAACGATTTCTAAGCGAAAATGTTCTCTTTGTTTTTAGGTTTTAGCAATTTACGACAGATTTGGCCGTCTCATACAAGGGAGCGAAATTCTAAGGAAAGACGTATTAGAGTACATAGTATTCGAAAAACATTTATCTAATGAGTACGGTCAATGGCGAATTCACGGTAAGATTATACCGCCCTGGATGACTCCGACGGACATAGCGGAAGGCACGTTTGTTCTGCCGAAAGAGAAACCCGAACCAACTGGGCCGCACCCTGTAGAAGTTGCGTTAACAGAAGACACGTCAAAGGATGCCGTAAACGTACAATCCTCATAAAAATACAATATACATGTAAATGGTTTTAAGTATTGTTTATATTATATTGTCTGTCATGTTGAGATACAAAATATATTGCAATTCATGCAACAATCCAAAGTAGTGCATTTATATTCCAACAAAGTTTGAATCAATATTCTCACAAAAGTGTATGCTTTCTCAAAGTTTTAATTATTAATAAGAAATATTATTAATTACAACTATGTAATAT